CTACCTGTCAGAGCCCTTCTGATGGGTGGCTGAGGACAGGTGTTATCTCTAGAACAGGTAGTGGAGTTTCCAAAGGAACAACAGTCTTGAATGGTGCAAAACCATCTCTGCACAGGGGAGGGCTGTGTCTGCTGGTTGTGGGTTTTGTAAACGCAACCCAAAATGTGACACTGTCGCCAATTAAGGCTTTCCTAATTTGAGCACTTTCTTACTTGAGCTCCAAATTGGTAAAGAGAAATACAAAATATAAATAAGTTCTTCCTAAGGACTACCAACACAGGCTACCCAGGAAGCATCAACTGCGCACAAAACCAGGAAACTTTTCAAGATGAGAATAAAAATCAAGGAGTGGAGGGGGTGGGGCGAGATCCACACGCAGGCATTTCAGTACAGGAAGCTGTGCATCCAGGTTGTGGGTCCACCAGCAATTCTGCGGGCAGCCTCTTCTGAATGAGCTGGCATCAACTCGATGGTACAACTAGGGGGCTCTCTGGCATCGTACAGTTTGAGCTGTGCTGTCAACTGAGGGGTTAGTGGTTCGAATCCAGCAGCCGCTCCTGGGGAGACAGATGGGCAGGTGGTCTCCTCTGCTAACAATTACCGTGATTCTCCAGGACAGAGTGGCACTGCCCACAGCACTGCCCGGAGGGCTTCTCTGACTGCCATCTTTAGAGGAGTACATCGTCAAGTCTCGCCTCTGCAGCTCTGGTGGTACAGTCTGAGGTGAGTCCACTGCTAATCCAAATTTATCCGAGCGTCAGCAGCGTTTACAGTCCACCAGGCGCTTCCCCACAGGAGGGCAGCTCTTTCCTCCCGTGAGGATTTAGGAAACTCAATGGAGGGTCACTACGAGTTGAAACTGGTCGAGTTTGAGTTTTTGTTCTTTTTTATCTTTGGTCCCAGTTTCTAAGCAAATAAAACCACAGACCTCTTGGTTTGCTTACCCAAAGCACTACCAAGATTCGTATGTTGTGAGCCACTGAGTTGGAACCGACTCACAGCTGACCCTCCAGAGGGTTTTCAGAGGCTGTGAGTGTCACAGGAAACTGGTGAGGCAGATGGTGGGTTCAAAGCACAAGCCTTTGGGACCGCAGCGCAGCTTCTTACCACTAGGCCACCAGCGCTCCCTGAAGACTTCTTAGTATCGTTTAAAAATCAAACAAAAAACACAAAAAGAAAGCACAAAAACTCCAAAACGCAAACAGCATTGTACAGCTGATTCTGACAGTCACCCTACGGCACAGAGCAGGGGGTGAGGCTGCCAACCTTTGTGGAAGCCACAGCCAGCTCTTCCTCCCACAGGGCTGCTCGTGGGTTCAAACCACCGACGTCTCGGTTAGCAGCCACGCGCTAACCCACTGCTCTACCACGGCTGCTTAGGCTGCTGAGATGGAAGGGACCTATTGCAGATCTTCCGGCGGATTTTCAGAGGCCGTGAGCTGCACAAGAGGAGACTGCCCATTTATCCACGTGAAGTAGCTGGCTGGTGGACTTGAACTTCCTGTCTTCAAGATGGCAGTGCAATTTCTTACCGCTAGGCCACCACAGCTCCCAAAGCTACTCAAACTATGGTTGAAAAAGACCCAAATAAGACAACAAACCCAGTGGAGTCAATGCCAACTCCAGAGACGCTCTACTGGGCTTCTGGGGACGACCACCTTTAAGGGAGAAGACTGCATCTCTCTTCCTTGCTGAGAGTGGACTTGAACTGCTCTCCTTTCAGTGAGGACTGTAATGCAAAACACACTGCTCCTTACCCTATGGTCATTGTTGTTGTTGTTGATAGTCAAGCACGACTCACAGCGACCCTGTGAACAAAAGGCCTGAAAGCCCCTCTACAACCATCATCATTTATCAAAGTTCATAGAGTTTCCAGAGGCATGTTGTTTAGGAAGTGGATGCCACTCCTGCTTCCAAACCTGTCATAGTATCTTACTGTTTTTATGTGCCATTGAGTCGCTTGTGATGTATAGAGACCCTACGTACAGCAGCTCTGAACCCTTCTGTGTCCTGAGCGCTCAATCTCACTAACTCCGGCGGCCTCAGACTTTCTACATGTTTGGACAATGTCTAGGAAAGAGGCCAGTCCACAGCCAAGTGGACCAGGAGGAGGGAAGCCCAGGGGGACCTATGGAGCCAGCAGGTCATACAGGTGAGCCCTGTGTACAAAGCACCTGCCATTCATGTGGGAGGAATGATGGCAATGGCCCGCCTAGGGCCTGACAGCCCATGGACACAGGTCGCTCTGTCCCCACTGACTGCTACCTGAGAGAGAGGTAGGCAGAAAACCCTGCCAGGATTTTAGGCTGTTTTGTTAGAAAAGGTAAAGTTTCACCATAGGATATTTAAGGGAAGAAAATAGTAGAATTTTACAAAACTCTCCATTTTTACTTGTTGGGTTTTTTTTTGTGTTAAATCACATGACCTCAAATACAAGAGTGTGTGGACAGCAGGATGTCCACTAATGGGCAGCCTCTTTTCCACTATGACATGAAGCCACAGACATCACCTTAGAAGAAAAGGTGTGACTTTTTAGCTCCATGGGACTTTCTGGGCCTTTCTTGGTGCTCCCACTGGCCCAGCATGACCTGAACAGGACGCCCACCACCCATCAGGAGCCCTGAGGCTGAGGTACATGCAAAGTGATACTATCTGCTGAGGAAAGCATTTCTCGACACCAGGGACTGACCAAATAAGGCGTAATCGCTCGGGCTACGGACTTCCTGGAAACCATGGATGCGTGCCAGGGGGGCTGGGGGACAGGCAAGGAGGCGGTCAGGGAGTTATCGACTCTGCCTGACAAAGACACACTCACGTTCAGGGGCACAGAACGGCTTCCTGGTGGAATTTTTCCTGCCCAGATCCCCATTCTGTATTTCAGGGCTGTCCTTGAAGGGCACCCTGGAATTCTTCAAGGGAAGGCCAGCCCTTGGCAAGGAGGGACACCCAGAGCAACAGGGAGCCTGGTTCCCAAGCCGTCGGGCTGACCAGGAGGGCCAAGAGGAGGGAGTTCACACCCCACTTGTACCTTCTCTGCATACTGCTTGCTGATCCCACAACAAACCGCGATGGGGAAAGCGTATTGCTTTTAATCCTAGCCAACCTGTAGGCGGAGGCTTGCTTTCAGATAGAAACTCTTAACTCCCTCATTGTCCTTGAGCTGGAATTGACTCAGCGTCCACCCTCCACTGGGTTTTCGACACTGTAAATCACACAGGAGGAGACTGCCCATCTTTTGCTCTCACAGACTCTGCTGGACCCAATTCCCTGTGGACTGTGTCACCAGAGGGCCATATTCTGAAGCCACAACGAGACTGCAGTTACCACCTAGTGGTATTAGACACCTGGACAAAATCCAGACACTCAACCCACTGCCATCAAGGGATTCTCAGCCCAGTGACCTGGGGACAGAGCAGAGCTGTCACTCAGGGTTTCCAAGACTATGAATCTTTACAAGAGCAGATTGCCTCTCTAAACGCCCTCGGAGCAGCTAGCTGGTGGACTCGAACTGCTGACTCTGCCAATTGCAGCCCAGTTCTCTGACCACTGCACCACCAGGTATCCCCTAAGGGTAGACAGGCAAACGTTTCTGGTGACAAGAAACTGAAGGATGCCACCATAGATCCCAGTTGTTGTTGTTAAGTGCTGTCAAGACTCTCATAACGACCCTATGAACAAAAGTCCTCGACACTTGCGTGACTTTCGTCCTTTCTCCAGGTTCATAGAGTTTCCGGAGGCAAGCCATTTCGTAAGCGGGTGCCACTCCTGCTTCCAGGCTTGTTTTAATCGGGGAGCTCCACCAAACACTGTCCACCATGGGTAACCATTATCACATTTGACACATCAGGGTCACAGTGTTCAGCTTCACAGCGACCACAAGGTACCTCTGTATGGCAACCCAGAGGAAAAAAAAAATAGAAAGAAAATATACCTCTGTGTATAGAATACAGAGAAAGAAAATATTTCAGTGTGTCTCCTGTAATTTTTTATTTTTTTTTTTCTACAGGGAGACAGGTTGAGATCTTCAAGTGAAAACTTTATCACTTGGGAAGTAGAAATCAAACCCAGTAACCCCAGTGTCGTTCCTTTCTTCCACTGCACGGGCCCGGCCAACCCCGAGGCATCAGCCCTGGTTTTCAAACCACTGCCTCGTGTTTAAAATCATTTCAGGAGCACAGCCAGTAGTAGAGTCTGTCAACATCCACAAAGAGAAGACACTGGGCCGTGGAGTCAGTTTGGCCTCTTGCTGACCCAGGAGGCAGAGGACCTCCGTCTCACAGGGTTTGCGAGGCTGCCATCTTTACAGGAGGTACCCAGATCTTTCTACCACAGAGCCCCTGGGGGGACTTAAACCACTAACCCCTCAGCAGCCAAGGGGTCCATGACAATAAAGGGGAACCCACTGAATTCTCAAGCTACAGAGTACAGCTCAGACAGTTCTCAGAAACCAAGAGCTTGGGGAAAGAAAGAGCTAACAGTATTTTCAAGGAAGCATCTGTTTGGTTTTAAATAGAGCCTTAATGTGAAATATCTACCATAATCTACTAGGGATTTGGGTTTTTTTCTTTCCAACAACCAATTTTTTCTTAATTTTTTTTTCCTTCAAAAAATGCGACTCTGTCCTACTTTCCTCCCCACAAATGAAGGTTATTTCAGGGGTCCTTAACAATTTGTCTCCAGTCTAGGTTTTTAAAAAGACATTGCGTCAGCTCAGACCTCCACTTGCAAGCATCTCACACCCTCCTGGACGGGCCGTTACCACACAGGGCAAAGACAGCCATCTTGAATGGGGTACAGTTACCCAAACACCTCTGCAGAGACCTGAGGGCCGCAAAGTCAGGACCACCTCACAGGTCTGCTGGCTAATGGTCACTCTCTGGGCCCTCGTGGCAATGAGCCATCAGGGTGGACGCAGAGACCACCTCACAGGTCTGCTGGCTAAGCTCACCCTCTGGGTCCTAGCAGCAATGAGCTATCAGGGTGGACGCAGAGGCACGTACCTGTCTTTGTAGTTGATCACCGTGTCTATGATCGCGTTCATCTGCTTTGTAAGTTTGGGGGGATTGGGTGACAGTTTCTCAGCCGGAGGGCGGCCTCGCCTCTTCTTAGCTTTTTCCACGTCCTCTTTTGCGGGATCCTTATCCACATTTCTTCGTCTTTTCCGCTTCTTAAGCCGCACTTCCTCTTCCATTTCTTCCAAATTGCCGTCTTCGATGGCCTGTTTGTAGGGAATGAAGAGGGAGAAGGTTCAAGATAACAACAGTGGAAATAATCAAGATTAAAAACAACAACAACAACAACAAACAACAGTTTGAATGACCTGGGCTAACATGACACACATTAACCACCCAAATTAAAAAAAAAAAATCCCAACAACCCCAAATCATTCCCAAAGGAAAACAGTCATCCGTAAAGAAGAAAATGAAGGCAGCTACCATATTGAATAGATGCATTTTTTTAACCCCAAGCTGTTAAAGAGCAAAACCCCTTAAAGGCCTGAGACAAGAGGCAGGACAGGACAGGACAGGAAAAGATCTATCCAGCCACAGCCATGAATGTGAAAACAAACCCAGGGGAATCTGAGCTCAACCTTAAGTAAAGGACCTGGATGTCTCATTAACGTAAGAATGGAGAGGAAGGTAAATGATGATAATAATTTAAAAAATCCAGAGAACAAGAGGGGGGGAGTGGCTGAAGAAAAGAATTTCCCTAGGAACAGATCCTTACCATAACACAGGCTTCAACCTCTTCTTCTCTGAGGTTTTACATCAATTTACTTATGATCCACAACATAAATCAAAATGCCATCTAGATTTCGTGCTAACGTAGCAATTAGGGAAAAAAACACACCAAAAAAAAAAAAGAACAGAGAAATACACAAAGCCACATTCCTGAGTAAACACACTTTAAGCCTCACTTAAACACACATACACACACATAGGAACAACACACACTTTTTTCTTACCCCCAATTACCTGCAAACGCTTGCTTTAAACCAGAGCCAGCGGCACTAATGCAGTGATAATAAAATAGCTATAAAAACAACCAAGTAGAAAAGGGATCTATTCACAAAGGACTCCAAGGTCCATGTGACAGACCCAGAAGTTTAAACTTTTTTTTTTTTGCGTTTTCTTTTCCTGGTACATCTCAAAACTTAAGAAAAGGGAATGGAAGGGGATAAAGAAAAATGTAAAAAAAAATAAAAGAAAGAATTTCTCATCATGGAAAAGAGATGTTTAAAAAAAAATCTTGCAATTGCATTTTAACATGGCTTTTGCGCCCCCCCCCCAAACAAATAACTGAAGTAGTTTTTCCACTCCCCCTGCCTCCTCAATACTGCCTCCCGTATGCAAATGCTAATCAATCCTTTTTCTGGAAGCTGAGAGCGTTCTAATCATAAAGCAATTACCTTCATTTCTCCACAGCACCAAACATGGCTAATATTTATGATCATGTGAGTCTAACAATCAATATAAAGAGTGATTACAGCTCAAACATAATTCGTTTCACTTGTGTACAATGCTTCCTGGAGAAAAAAAAATGCAAGCCAAGGGCTGGTGAAGGCGACCTGGTACCCAGCAGACCGACCTGGCGTGTTCAGAAACGCCAGTGGGAGTAAAAGGAGTAATAATAATAATAAGCTGCTCCTCTGCATTCCCTAGTGCAACACGAATCCAGACAGCATCTTCAGGGGCAGCCTCTGCCTAGGCCGTAATAATCAAAAGACAATTTCCATCACCATTCCCGGGTTCAGAGAAGCACCAAGGAGGAGAGAGAGGGGGAGAGAGGAGTTAGGAGGGGAAAAAAGAGAGAGGAGGAAAAACCAGAAAATGCAAAAGGAAAAAAAGAGAGAGAGAGAGATGCCCACATTATTTCATTAATATTCATCTGCCTTAAAAAGCAGGCCACCCTCTTCATAGCTAAACCCACTGCAGCTGGGTGACGATAGAACAAGCCACAGCTCAGAGGCACCACATAACAACAGCCCAGCCTGGCAACGGTTAAACGTCTTCAGCACCCGGCTTGCACACCGAACCCCGGCAGAGCCCCGACTTTTGACGTGTTACCTACACATGCCTGAGCTGTACTTTCTGGTGAATCTTCAAGACAGCAATGAAAAAAGATATTTACCTTACCACTATCAGCAGGCCGGCTGCTATCGGAAATCACTGTTAGTGGGGATAAAATTAACAAACCAGCAAAGCAACGAGCTGCTAGTCTCTTCATCAGCTGATCAGGAAAAAAAAGAGAGCTAGGGAAAGGCTATGTTTTCATGTACAAGTAATTTTATTTTACTGAAAATTTAATACTGAACGGATTGTGGATACTCAAATCTGCTGTTTCATTCTACCGACAAGGCCCCAAAGCCTTCCTCCTCCAGCCCGTTATAATATTGACAACTACTTATCATATTTTTTTCCCCTCTTATTATTCCAGGCAGCAGATTTAAGCGATTTCCCCCCCACCCTATTTTTTTTTTCTTAAAAAAAAAAAGCTTAGGTGGTTTCGGAATCTGGCTCACATTTTAATAATTAAGCCAATGAGAATGCCAATTAATATTCAAATTGCTTTTCAAAAATTAAAACAAGGTACGCTTATTTCCACCACCCCTTCCCTCTCGGTGGGACTGTAAACGTCATTTTCGTGCCTTTTGAAAAACAAGACTGCATGGCTTGGGAGCAGTCGGAAATGATCAGGAGAGAAAAAGGACTCTTCCCCTCCCTCCTCTATGCATTGCAAATGGAAGCAGAGGCTGAGGCGGTCGGGCTATTTCCATTCGACATGCTCGACTTTTCTGTTGGCAATCCCCAACCACTGTGACACTTATTTCTAGTTTCCTGCTGTAAAAAGGGAGGGGGAAAAATTCTCATTGTTGTTCTTTTTTCAGCGAGGATACATGGAGGAGGGGGGAGCTGTGGGAAAGGGTACTTCTTTCATCCACCCCTCCTCCCCTAATTTTGCAAAAAAAGAACAAAAGCCTCACTTCCTCGATTTTTTGGACTGCTCTCTCTCGCAATCTGGGGGCAGCAAAGGAACGAAAAGCAAATTGCAAACAGAAGTGCGGGCGGGATTTTTATTACAACGGCTGGCCCCTGCACATTCCGGATAAATAATTTGTAGGACTAGGAAGGGCCGGGGAAGCAGGCAAAGTCCTGCCCACTCCACCCGGAGGTGAAGCTTTTATGCAGGAATGCAGAGCCATAAACACCCTACTTCCCCCCTGAGACCCCAAGCCCTCACAGCCCGGGAGTTCTTAAGGGTCTTTTTCTAATGGAAATCAGCCCACTTAATATCGCCCAGTGCTTCCTACTTGGAGGAGAGAGCACCCTTACTCCTGTCGGGAAGTAAAATCATTCATGGATATTTTAAACTGCTCTTTTCTTTTTTAAAAAAAAAAAAAAAAAAGGAAAAGATTTTTTTTTCTTCTCCCAAACTGGCTGAACTGATCGCTCAGTACTAGGATGAAGGGAGTAGGGGGTGGGGGGCAGAGAATTAAAAAAAATTTTTTTTAAACTTGCTACACACAATGCTAAAAAGTCCTACCCCCGAAAAAGAATTCCCTTCCAAACCTTTTACCAGCACAATAATGCAATAAATCACAGACGCAAACCCCCAGCTTCCGACTGGTGATGTGTTGCGTAAAAGTGCAGCCCTAATTCAACACACAGACGGCTCCCATGCCGAACCGCCTGGAGACTTAATGAAGTGAATCAGGAGGAAGTGGGGGGAGAAAAAAAGTGTACAAATAAGGCATTAACGCTTTCCTGCCCGACCAGACACCAAACCCCGAGCCACAACTAGCGGGAAGTTTGGGGAACCACCTCTTTCCTTAAAGGCACACGGCACCCACTTGGCTCCGGACTCCAGCGCAAAAGCCCAGATGCTGAGCCCAGGCACGGCCAAGTTCAAAGAGTTAAGCCTGCTTCGGCTGGCGTGTTTTCCTGAATGGAGCCGGGAATTACGAGTTCCTCCGCTGGGTGGCAACCTTTCCCCCGCCCATTCTTTCTCTTTTCTTTCTTGAAAACCTACATGGTCCAGACCGGGGCAAAAGGACAAGGCATGGACTCTGAGGAAGGCAGAATGCAGCTTGCAAGGCACCTGGCCGGCCCTGGGTTCTGATTGTCCCTCTGGGCCACCCCAAGCACATGCTCTCTTCACGCCCTCATGTCCAGCTGGCACTGTCTTTGGCCTCAGCAAAGGGGTGATAGGATGAGGGACAGGCCACCCCACAGCAGAAAGGTCTTCTGTGTGTTGTTGAGTAAGCAGAGACCCAGTCCCTATATCACCACTGTCTCGGCCTCTTGGCCTGTCCTTTGCCACTCAAGGGGCCCAAGTCCAGCGTGGCTGGCCTCCGGGGGCAAAATAAAGTAACTTAAGGACATTCTAAAGCCCCACAGCTCACAGGAACGTCCTGAGATCTTGTTAGGTGCGGTCACGTTGAAACTGTGGACGTGGACCCGCCGGTGGGTTTTCAGCTGCTGGACATCGCACCCGAGGACGGTGACTATATTTTCCCCAAGGGGCAGCTGGTGGTTTGGAACCACCTGCCTTTGGGCTGGCAGCTCCTTCCCAGCTGATTATGACTCATAGCGACCCTATGACCAACAGAGAGGAAACTTCCCCATGCTGTGCCTTCTACACCATGTCTGGTGAGGAACTGACAACTCAAGCGTGCTGTCACAGGCACTCTGTTGGTCCAACCTGTTGGGGGTCTTCCTCTGTCTCTGAACCTCCAGCTCTCACAGCATGGATTTATTTATTTATTTTTAATTCCCCAAGGACTGGCCCTTCTGGCCAACATGCCCAAAGTAGGTGAGAGGAAGCTTCACCATCCTTGCCTGCAAGGAGCAAGGATCTGACTGGGGAAGTTAGTACTCCCCGGTGCATTCTGAGGCACGCAGGTCGTATCTCTAGGCCCATAGTATGCTCTTTCTCCATTGATGCCCCTTAGGGGCCCTCTTGGGGTTCCAGAAGAGGGCTCTAGGATGCTGCGAGGGGTGGGTGTGGGTTAGAGGCTGAGCACTGAAGGATTCAGAGTAAGACAATCACGTTACACTAGTGTCCCTCATGTGAGAACAAGCAACCCATCACCAAACTTGATCCCAATATTGGGCAGTGACCACAGATCCCAGCCTGGCAAAGTCTATGGGAGGTTGCACTCCACCCCATGGGATCGCTGAGTCCGAATCCATTTGCTCAAAGTGGGTTCTTGTTTAT